CCCCCCCCCCCCCCTTCTACTCGGCCCCACAACCACCCTCTCGTTATCGCAACGTCTTGCCTGGCTTGCGACTGCTGTTCCTTCCCGTCCATGGGCGGGTTGGTCTGGTTCATGATCTGGCCAAGGTTGTCGAGGTCTGAGGCCCCTCCAGTGGCGGTGCCATACGAAAGAGCTTCCCCTACCGCCCCGGACATCGCCACGATGGACACCTGTTGTCGGCGTTTGCGAAAACGAGGTTCGATGATCAGCCAACCAGGGCGTCCGGGCAGCATAGGAGTGCATCATGTGCAAAAACAGAAAAGATTCGCCGAAGGATAGAAAGACCTCCGTTGCAGCTGGTGCGGTGTGGAACATTGCAGCCAAGCCACCATCCATCGATCGGGAGAGAAAACGACATAAAAACTGCGACGACGGCAGGGCAACATCAACTCCTGCTGCGGGTAGTTGGCTACTACACTCAAGTCTAATGAGCTAGGTTTTACAAGACAGGCGCCAAACATCTTAAGGATCCCCAGCAAACCGGCCGTGTGGCAGTACGGTGGGCAAGTTTAGACATCCTTTGGTCGCCAAATCTCCTTTCACGGTTAGCAAGGACGTGCGCGTCGCCGTGCTCACTACTTGGGAAAAGACGGGGGCGGGGGGGGTCCCGCCTACAGGCCACGCCGCGCGAGGTACGGCGATTGCGCAGGGCGGGAGGGAGTCGTTGCGCCTTCACAACGGCAAAACGCCAACAACAACGACGACAAAACCAAACAACGACAACAGCCACCACCACAACGACACCACCACCACCATCACCAACGACAACAACAACAACAACAACCACCACAACCACAATATCACTAACACCACCCACCACTACTACCACCACCACCACCACCACCACCAACACCAACAGCAACAACAACAGCGACAACAACAACAACAACAACAACAACAACAACAGATAACAACAACAATACTAATAGCAACACCAACACCAACACCGCCAACAACACCACCAACACCAACAAAAACAAGAGCTGACCTGGTCAACCTCCTCCGGGGTAAACTTCATCGCCCGCCCGGACATGTCCCCCTCCGCCGAGTCGTAGAACTCCACGAGAGTAGTCCCCCCGTCGGCCTTGTAGCTCTTGATGGGCAGGCCGCAAAGGTAGCCCGACAGGAAGTGGGCGGCCTCGTGGCGCACGCGTCGCTCTTCGTAGTCGTCCTGACAACACACAGCGACAAGGGGAAGGGGGGTACTAAGGGAAACGCATGACGGAGTGTCGGTAGACCATTGTCCTCGTATCGTCCTGACAACATACAGCGAAAATGACAGTTAGGAGGGGAACCCATGTAAAACCCTGCAGTAGTGTTGGTAGAACCTCGCATTCCTACAACGGCGCAGCGACATGCAGGATGCTTGTCGGGCATGCTACGTTTTTGACATGACCAGAATCTGATCATCATCCTTGCGTGTGCTGTGCCAAGCCAGATACGACAGGGCGGGGTGTCTCTCAAAAATTGATCGTTCGCCGCACGTTGCCGCCAGAAACGGGCCACCGTTTCAGCCCCTGACGATTTGTAGGTTTTCTGGAGGGGCGCGGGGCGAGGGCTACGCTGAATCGCTAGGTCGATAGGGGGGGCGGGCACAGCGCTGCAGAGAAAGGTGTGCTATTTATTCGTCGTCGCAAACAAGAAAACCTCATTATCTGCCAAATGCCGGCCGGGTCCGACGAAGACGCGTTTTCTCGCAGAACCGTTCCTGGCCTTGCTGAGGTTGACGCTTTTTCATCGGTAAGCCGGTTAGCGCGGTCGATGCCAGTAACAAATAAACACTCGTTCGCACGCACACCTATCACACTTGTACAGCCGAGCGAAAGCGAGAGCGAGAGAGATAGAGAGGGAGGGGCACAGACAAACAGAGAGAGAGAGAGAGAGAGAGAGAGAGAGAGAGAGAGAGAGAGGGAGAGAGAAAGACGCACAGATACAGACAGAAACAGACAGACAAGAGGGACGAACCTTACCTGGGACTTCCTACGGACGTTGTTGATGACGGCCGTGATCACCCCCGGGGCCGTGGACCCGATCCCGAGGAAAACGATCGGCAGGAGAGCGAAGAAGTACGTGAACGAGGCTCCCACGTTACCGCCGATGGCGGCGCCGACCCCGACCGCCGCCGCGAAGGAGAAAATGCACACGAACCCGAGGGCGTACTTGAGGTCGTCCATGTCGCCCCCGTCCGCCGCGAGAGACTGAGCGCAAGGTCG